GCGTTCCCTCAGGGTCAGGAGGAACACGGACTTCCCCATTAGGTCAGCAAACATAGCGCCCATCAGGGATTAGGCCCAGCCCGCCTTCAATTAGTAAAAAGGGTGCAGTCTCCAAAATGAGAGTAGGATTATTTGAGTCAGCAATGAATAAACTGCTCCCAGCTACTGTCCTCTTGGTCCCCCGCCTTTGGTGTCACTCAGATTAGCGAAAGAGCAGCCAACTTCCTACTCTACAAAGCGGGACTAAGCAACCTCCTTCCCTCCTGACTGGGCCCCACAGCCACACAGTTCATGGTAAACCAGGTGAGGCACAAGTAGTCAGGAAATCAAAAAGGAAGGCACAGGGAGGGAAAGGCCCCCTACACCTGGAAGAACACACAGCAAATTTTCTGTCTTATTATCGGGGGAACCATCCCTCCAGGAGCCAAGATCAGCCCCTCCTTAAACACGGTCGGCACCTTTCTTCACGCTCCTTTTGCCATCTTGCCAGAAGTGTTATCTATTTGATTCTTAAAGAACCAACCTGTAGTTTTGTGAATCCTCTTATTTATTTCTGTTATTTATTATTTTCTTCAATGCATACCTTTTTGAGTTTGATGCTTAGCTCATTACTATAAAAAACATGGATGGGGAAGCATACACACCCGCTGCAGGACAGTAGTGGTGAAAGAACTTAGGAAAAGAATATTTAAAGACTTGACATGTATAGGTAATGTTTTACTTTTTAAATATTTTGGGGGAAAAACTCAGCAAAATGTTAATAATAAATGCTGAGTACATAAACTTATGTTATATTCTGTGAACTTTTGTATGAAAAATTCTATTTCAGTTACCTCACCCATTAAAAGATTTAGGTCACTGACTGTAATTAAATCACTAATGTTAAAAACTACCCCGGGGCGGCAGGTTAGCTCAGTTGGTTAGAACGCGGCACTCGTAACACCAAGGCTGCCGGTTCGATCCCCACATGGGCCACTGAGCTGCGCCCTGCACAACTAGANTCTCACGGAACTACTTCACAAGTAAGCTCGGGGTGACTTTTCAAGAGTCTCTTCCGACACTTTGTTTTAAAAGATCTGAGCAGAAAGTAGGGCAAAGGGCCGTGTAAGCAGTGTTGTGTGGCAATTGGAATGTCCCATCTATGGAATTGTGGTGGGTGACACGGTGAGTGTGACTAGGCATTGTAGGAGGACGACGACACGCTGCCGCCATGGCCGGTCCAGTTAGTGTGGATAAACTCCCCTGGTTTGGCCAAGAGTTCATAGGTGTGGGCCCCAAAGTAATCCCGCTGAGCCTGGAAAAAGAGAGGAGGTTGGTTAGGACGCCACGCAGGCCACGACCCTCAGGGAATGTCCCAACTCCTCCCACAGCTCACCTGGATCAGGTTGGCTGGCAGCATCTCGTGTCTGTACCCGTCGTAGAAGGAAAGAGCAGTGGTGAAGCAGGGCATGGGGATGCCCGCCTGCACACCAGTACTGACTGCCCGCCGCCAGGACTCCTGCGCAAGAAAGCAAAGCCCACAGAAAAGGTAACTGACTCTGTTCGAAATGACCGAGGTTTGTCCGACTCAGTGCTGGCAAATGAAAAACAGATGCCCCATGGCAAAACCCGAGACAGATGTCCCGTACCACCCGACTGGGCGACATACCTGGCAGTTTTCAACAGCTGACTTGAAGAAGTCATCTAGTAGTAGGTTCTCAAGTTCTGAGTTTCGATCAAATGCATCTTTGATTTTTCCTAGGAATACGCTGAAATAATCAAGAGAGGAAAAGTCAAAGAACCTTAACTATAGCAGGCGGAACGCCTGGCAGAAAGCAGGGGAAATAAGTTGGAAGCGGATGTATACCCGAGAGAGGTACAAAGTTACACCTGTCATCCCTCAAAGCCAGCTGTATACTCCAGGAAAATAGAGCCGAAGTCCCAGGAGGCAAGGCT